GATGGATGGATGGATGTCAGTCCTGATCTCATTGTGTGGCACCTGTAACGCTGTGGGTTTGTCTCTGTGTGACACCCAAAGGCCTCATCAGGCTGCAGGAGCTCATCATGGCCCCATCTCGCTACAACATCCGCCTGAAGATCCGCCAGCTCCCGCTGGACACGGACGACGCGCGGCCGCTGCTGAAGGAGATGAAGAGGGGCAGGGAATTCCGCATCATCTTCGACTGCAGCCACCTGATGGCAGCTCAGATCCTCAAGCAGGTGAGCAGGAAAGCAAAGTGGCTGCTGAGGAGCCCATGGGTGTAGGGTGGCCCTAATGAAAAGTGACCCCACCCTGGGGTGCAGCTTTGCCTTGGGCCACAATCCACAGCTCCTCTAAAAGCTGCAGCATGTCTACCCTTCAAGGACACTGCTGGATTTCTACAGACAATGGCATTGTCACTGACAAACTGGAAGTACCAAAAAAGTGGCTGTAGGTGAGAACAAACAAATGTTACAGGAGGAGAAGGGGCTGTGCCAAATGCAGAGCCCAGGCCCAGGCTGGTGCTGGACAATTCTGCATCTCTCCCTGCAGCTGCACAGCCCCAGCCTTCTTCCCTCTTTCCCCTTGCCCCTCCATCCACACTGGCTCTCCCAGCCAGGCCCAGCCAGGAGGGATGGCATCCTCTGTCCCTTCCCCAGCACTGTCTGCAGTTCTTGGACTTTAAGCCAGATGTCAGTGATTTTCCATTCATTTGGGCTCCCTCCTTTCTTCCTCCACAAATTCCTCCACTGGCATCCTTGCTGCTCACCCGAGCTCCTCCTCATTCCCGAGCGCCTTTGGGTTTCAGGGTCAATATGAGGAGAGGAAAAGGCTCTCACAGAGATGCTAAAAACCAGCCCTGGAAGTGTTGCTCCTATCAGCTCAGCACAACACCACCATCCAGATTAAATAAATCCCCGAAGGGATGAGAAAAGCGAGCACAAGGCAAGAGCCTTCCCCTGCAGCCTGCTTGATGCAAAATGAAGGGAAGTGCTCAGAGAACTTGGAAAGCCTGGGAGGGATGATTATGGGAAGCAATAGAAGGGGCTTATTGTCTCCTGGCAGTTATTTTCCCGTGCTGGTTGTGTTTGGTGCTGTTCACTTATTATGCAGTTTATTATAGTTTATTGTGCCATCTGCTCAGCTCATCACGGCTGATGCAGAGTGAGGAAGATGGAGGAGAGGGGGGACCAGGGGAGACAAGTCTCTCTAAGTCCTTCTGGCTGGGTTGTCAGGGTTTTGTCAGGACCTGAAGCCATGGATTTCAGCTTAGCAATAAAAGACAGTGTATTTTTACTCAGGAAAATACTGAAGTATTTTCAGAGTCTGGGAAGTTGCACAAACCCAAACCAGAGCCTGACTGGTCTCTGGCCACTCTGGTGCATAACATCAGGCAGGTTTGGAGCAGAGCACCACAACCTGCAGGTCACCCGCATCTGCTGAAGATTAGGAGGCTTAGGAACCTCATATTTTCCTCACTTTTCTACCTGTAGCAAGAAATGCATGTCTAGAGGTGCCACCTCCATTTGTGGAATAGCTCTTTTGCACTGAAAGTACAAGCTAGGCAAAGCCATCTCCTGGAGGAGGGGAGTCTGCTTCCCTTCACAACAGCAGAAGAACAATGCACAGAACAAATAATGGCCTGAAAAAAAACCCAAAAAACAAACAGAGAGGAAGGCCCAGCATTCTGTTTATGCCAGAATCAGTAATATTCGTATTTTATTGCTATTATATGTCTTTTGTAACATTTTGGTCGCAACACCAGTCAGCTCTGCAGGCGTTTGGCTGGATGGAGTCCCTGGAGTCTCTTGGTCCTGCTGCCACCCCCGTGCAGCCTCATGGGTGACAACAAGGTTCTCACAAGACTTGTGCTAACATTTCCACTCCTTGACACTGATTTTCATTGCACATCTTCAGAAAACACAGAAGGTTTGAGCACCTACAGCCTGTGCTGGCTGAGGCAGGTCTGGCTGAGCAGTGCACACACCATCATGCCAGTCAGGATCTTGCTCCCCAGACATTCAAGGTTCTGTGCTCCCACATCACTGATCATCTGGGCAGGTTCTTTAAACTGAAGTAGTAAAAAAACCCCCATGGATTAGTAATCCATGAGTAACACCACGTGAGCCAGCACAACTGTACAGGTGAGACTGTCACCTACTGCTCCAGCCTGGCTCCCTTGGAGTGACCAGACATTATTCTGCCCTCTTGGAAAACAAATAATTGTAGGAACCTATCAGAGAGTGAGTCCTGCTTGTGAGGCTTTCCCATTCTACCCCAGATTCTCTGGCCTTCCTCAGTTTTGGTCCCTTGTTCTCACTCCAGGTCTGTTCCCAGGCTTCCCTGCACTGTCCCAAGCAGCTCCACAGGGCACAGCTGTGCCTGTCAGCTCTGACTGAGCTCCTGCTCTCATCGTGGCCACTGTCTGTGGCTGACCCACCAGGATGATCGTTTATTCATTTTCCCACAAACCCAGATGCACCCTGCCCCAGGCTGCCAGTGCTGGGAAGCTGAAGCTTCCTTCTGACAGCGGGTCTGGGCTCCTCAGCTATAGCCAGAATGATCCAGCTGTAGAACATGAGCTGGGGTCTCATTATTTGCTCCAGACTGGCTCCCCATCACTAACTGATGTTTCCCATGATGAGCTGCCATTCTCTGCTTCAGCTCTTTGAACCAGGGTGTGCAGGAGGGACAGAGCTGCACTGCAGCCCCCTGGATCCACTGGCCAGGCACGGACTGGGGGACAGCCTCCAGACTTTCTAAGAGCTGCTTCCAGAGCAGGAAACCTGAGGTGAAATCACACTCTAGAGTCACAATATCTCAGTTTGCAATCCAGATCCTTCCCTTTTCCCTTGCTTTTTGACATCTCACTTCTTTTCAGATTGTCACTTCCTTCCTCGGAGGAAAATTCCGCCCTAGTAATTTTAGCAAAAACCAAGGGAAGCAAACATTTCCTGGGGGGACTTGAAGTCACTTTCCCATCAGTGGGGATTTTAAAGTGCTCTTGCATGTGTTTTCTCCAGAAAACATGCTCACACAGTCAGCATCCCAGCCAAACCCACGGGAATCTTCCTGTCACCAGCCACCAGCTTCAAGGTGACCTTTCTCACACACTGAAATGTGCTCCCCTCATGTTGTGGACATGGTCATCCAGCCAAGGCCCCTTCAGCCCATGGGTGTCCTCTGAAAGACCTTCCAGGACAGTCTGTTCTCTCCAGTGCTCAGTTATGCAAATCCCAGCAATCTGCAGGAGCCATCCTCCGTGTAGGAGCTGGCAGGGAATCTCAAGCATTGCTGGCCAAGGGCTCTCAGGACCTTGATCTCCAAAAGCTGAGGGACAAGGGATATTCCCACTCTCCATCCTTGTGCCTACACCTTCACTGACCCACTTCTAAACCAGCCCTAAGTCAGGATCTGTTGTGTTCAGCAAGGAGGGACAGAGGCAGGAGCTCCGTGTGCTCACTGCACAGATGGGACTGAAGGTGGGGGTGCAGAGCCCCAGAATTACACTTGTCAGAAATCCAAACCCTTCTTAGCCACTCCACAGACATGGAACTGTAAGAACAGGCTATTTCTGGTCAGTCTGCACAGGTTTGTGTGAGGCTGCTCATTGTTTGCTATGGGAGAGGGGACGTGACCCCCTTTCCCACAGCTGTGCCAACAGAGCCTGGAGGACCCTGCACCCATGAGCAAAGTGCCACAGTGCCCTGGCACACCCGGGGACACCCAGAAATGCCACCAGCCCTCGTGGCAGCTGGACACTGAGGCTTTGCCATGGTTTAGAATGGTTTGAGGACCACAGCTCCACTCAGCTCAGCACTTGAGCATGTGCCTCTTGCTGACTGAGCACAGCTCAGCTGCTCCATGCCCTCAGTCCTGAATCCAGCCCTGGTGTTTCCAGGTCTCTCCTGCCACATTCACCTACGAGCTCTGAGTTTTCTGTTGCATGGCTGTTGTTTTATCCTTGTATCCCTTTACTAACCCCTTTTCCCTCCTCTCCTTAGGCTATGGCAATGGGGATGATGACAGAGTATTACCACTTCATCTTCACCACTCTGGTAAAGTATCTGCCTGTGCACACCCCTTGTACACTCGCTGATGGGGGGTGGGATGGGAGGGGGCAGCTGGAGCAGGGGGGTGGGATGGTGTCTGATCCTGGTGCTCACTGCACTGCAATGGGGTGGGAAACACAAGGAATTGGGAGATCTGGGACCCCAGGAGGAGAGAGCAGGGCTGGACTTGGCTGCAGGTCAGGGTCAGACCCCAGTGACCTGGCTCTAACTCCTCTGGTGCTCAGCCTGAGAGATGTCAGTTCTTCCTTCCCCTGCCCTTGGACAGCTCACTCCTCTGGAGTGAACAGATCTGAGCTCTGGTTTTATTTTCTTTCCCAGTCGTTTTGCTTTCAGTGTAGCTCCCCATGCACTTACAATGAGCACAGGGAAAGTGCAAGGCTGCAGCCAGGATTTGGTGGGACCTGATTCAGCAAGAGCTGGGGATAAGCACTCAGGGCCCCCTCTGGAGCCAGGAGCAGCCCTGCTGTGGTCCAAGCTTCAGTCCTGCAGGTTTATTTTGCAGGAGAGGAGCTCAGCCTGACATTAACTCCCCTCTGTTAAACACAGGCCAGTTCCTCTCTGACTCTGAGAGGCATTTGGCTTTCCTGGCAGGGTCACTCTTTTCTCCATTTAAGATGCTATTGTCTAGTCTACTGTTGAATTTTGTGTGATTTTGAAAATCCAATTTATCTTTTTGCCTTTAGGAAAGAAACACACTAAACTAACCCTTAAAAACTACAAAATTTATTTTTCAAATGCAAATGACATTTTAATTACCCCTGCTGCCATTATCTATTCCAGGCAGCTTTAAGCATTTCCCAGATAACCTCCTATTAATCAGCCCCAGCTGAGCCTGGAGTACATTTCATGTGTAGGTACAGCCTGGAGGTGGGAAAAGAGGAATTATAATAAATTAATAGATAAGCAATCACAATTAATGCCACTTTCCTGAAATAACAGTTATATCATGGGAAAGATATTTTAATCTGTCATTCCTTAAGGCAATGTTTTCCTAGCTTGCAATGCCTGTGCTTCAGCTTCCCCAGTACGAGACCCATGGGGTGCTAATGAATTAGTCTATTATGTTATACTGAATGTTTCTAAAAGGTCCCCAGTCAATACTGAGCACAGTGTATCAACACTTGGCATGAAATGCTTCAACATTTTGCTAGGCAGCACGACTACAGTTCACTGACTCCAGCATGAAGAGCCCCATCAGCCTTTTCCACCACAGGAGGAGGAGCAGGAGGAGCAGGAGGAGGGTCCCTGATGAGTGCTGGTCTCTGTCACACGCAGATTTTACACCCAAAGCCCCTGCAGGGAGAACCCCAGAGCTCCACTCCCGTGGGGGTGTCTCAGTCTGTAAAATGGGGCTTTGCAGACATGGCCAAGCCCTGCCAGACCCCAGGGCAGAGCTGGGGGGACTCCTCACCCACGGGCAGCAGAAGACAGGGATGCCCTTCCTGGACATCCTCCACCACCGAGGAGCCCAAGCTGGGCAAACTGGGCAAGGGGGAGAGCATCACAGGAGCACTGAGAGCAAAATTAAGGGTGGAGGGGAGAATTAATCTGCAGTACAGAAAATCTACAGAAAATAATGAGTGAAAGGGAATGTAGATGAGGTGGAAAATAGAACCAGATGTTTCAATTTGTGGCTGTGCAGGAGCAGAAAATCCAGAAGAAACTGATCTGATGATTCCCATCCACACCTCCCTGCGTGCTGACACTCAGCTGGTATTCTGAATTATCCTCTGATTCCAGGAGGTGATAAATCAGGCTGCAGCTGAGATTTAAACTGCAGCCAAGGAGGGGGCCTGATGGGAGGTTGGTTTCTATAGGAACTTGGTGAAAGGAAGGGTCAGAGGAGAGCAGCAGGGTAGGGGCAGCACCCAAAATGCCAATGGGATCTGAGAGGTGGCCAGGGCTGGTGGTTTGACAAATGGGCAACAGAGACCACGGGGTCTGGAACTCAGGGATCTGATTTGTCACATACAGTCACATTCTGAGGGGGAAATCATCAGCTTTTTCAACAGAAATTATTTCCTCACAACAATTTTCATCTGATTGGAAATGAATCTTGGAAAAACAGACCCATTCCAGCAGGTCAGGCACAGAATTGCTGTCCCCTCTCCCAGCCAGAGACATGAGCACTTGTCTGAGGTCAAACCACTGTATTTGCCCTCAGCTCCCTGAAGTCATTTAAAAGTCAACATTGTGGCCTGGTTTTCACAGTGCACTTTAACAGAATGTGCAGGTTTGCACTTGCAATTTTTCAGGGTTAAAAAACAACCCAAAAACCCCAAGTCCCATTTGCCATTGCAGGGTGATTAATGATTTGGTCCCTGCTGCACCTGCAGATTTGAGCACTGCATCCATCAGCAGTGAGCCCTGGGGCTGCAGAGGCTGGGGCAAGGCTTACAGAAAAGATCAAGCCCCCAAAGCTTATTAAAGCAAAACAGCCACAGGAACCCTCACTCCCCCGTGGAGAAGGCTGTCTCAGTTGCTGGCAAGTGCTGCTGCTGTTGTGCTTTGCTTGGGGCAGCACGTGTGGGACTTCAGCAGCCCCCTGTGGGCAGATGGGTGCTGTGTCCCACCAGCACAGCCCCATCACACAGCACAGAACAGCCCCAGCACAGCCCCAGCACCCATCCCATACTGAAGCTCCTTTTGATGAGCCCTTGTGAGAGCAGTGAATGTCACAGATTCACCCCCACGCTCCATTGCAGACGATTTTGTGGTGCTGCCTTTCCACCTCCCCACATTTATGCTGCCACGAAACACTTGCAGAAATTGTTCAGGATAAACGCTGATGAAATATATCCCATCCAACAAATGGTTCCCATTAACCAAGCCACCCCTGGCTGTCATATCCCCACATTCCCCCATTCACCCCTTGGGTGGGTTTGGGGAGCAGATCAGCTGCCACATGCTCCTGATGTGCTGTCTAACCCCAAACTCATCCCTGAGCACTGAAGCTGATATCCAGACATGTGGAGAGCCAAGAACTGCACCACAGCAGCTCTCCCAGTGCCCCCAGTGCCCCCAGTGCCCCTCGCTGAGTGATGCTCTCAGGCCAGCAGCCAGCAGAGCTGAGCACTGCCTGGCTCTGGTTCTCACATCGTATAAAGGGCACCCTCATTCATCTGCAGACTGTGTGGGCTGGTTGGAATGTCAAGAAATGCGTCTTAGTTCCTCTTTGATAGTCTGCAAATTGGTGTTTTGCATTCAGAGTGACTCTGTCACCCACAGCACTGCCAGCAAATCCTCCGTGGAAAGGCCCATGGGAGCTTCAGGCACAGAAACTCTGCCTTGTCCCCCCTCCCTGGGTCACAAGTCTCTTTTTTCAGAGTCACAGGCAGTGATTCTGGTTTTCTCCCCGCAATCCTCTCGCCTCTTTCCTGCTGACAGAAAGTCCTTTGGTAGGAGCTCCCTTCTGCTGCTGCGTGTGGGGGAACCTGCACATACGGCACCCAAATTCCAGCAACACCTCCAGGCCTCGGCAAGCAGAGCCTGATGGCAGCAGACAGCACAATCCTTCAATTCCTGAGGGATCTGCACTCCCTCCCACCTTCTGTGCGCTCTGCTGCGTCTCACTCCAAACACAGACACGAACCGACGCAGAAAACTCAAACAAAACAAAGCTAAGCAAAATGTTTAAACCAGTTTCTCTCTTTTAAGGATCTTTATGCATTAGACCTAGAACCATATCGCTACTCTGGGGTGAACCTGACCGGATTCCGGATCCTCAACGTGGAGAACCCGCACGTGTCCTCCATCATTGAGAAGTGGTCCATGGAGAGGCTGCAGTCGGCACCCAAGGCAGAGCTGGGGCTCCTGGATGGTGTGATGATGGTACGGGCAGCTCAAACAGGGCACAGGGGGCTGGGCAGCCTGGGAAGGGAGGCAGGAACAGTCATTAAGGCCTAAATGTTACTTTTTTGTTGTTGTTGTTGTTGTACCAAACAACTCATCGCAGGTATCTGCCCTGAGGTACTTTCTTGCATTCTTTAATAACTGTCCCTCAAAGTGTGGGGTGAAGCCCACACCCCACTGCTGTGATAACGCTCCTGCTCAGCCCAGCTGCCAACAGATTTCCCAGCAGACAAGGCAGGTGGTCAGGACGTGTCCCAAAGGGCTCCAGCTGTCCCTGAGAACAGCAGGACAGCGGCCCCCAGGGCTGGGAGCACAGGGCTGGGGCTGGGCCAGGCACTTTGCCGAGATAGAGACAGGGAAAAAGTGCCAAAGCAAGGCCCAGAGATGGGCTGTGCTGCAGCTTTGATGACTCCTTTCAGGGTCTGATGGCAGCTCTGCTCTGCTGAGTTTCTGCTGGGAAGGTGCAGCACCTGCTGGCCCATCTGTCTTCCCTGCCAGGCTGTCTCCGACCCCCAGAATTGCTGACTGGCTCTCTCCTTCCCTCTCCTTTAGATCTGCCAGGACCAGCCCTGCAAAGTGGCAAAGCCTCCCAGACTTTCACCTTGAAATGGCTCCTTAGGCCCCTCCTGTTGTGTTTTTTGTTAAGGGAGAGACTCCCACTCTCCTGCAGGCTCCTGCCTGTCCCCACAGCTGAGCCCTCCTGTGCCTGCTCAGTCCCCAGCTCTGCCTCCCCTCCCAGCCCTTCTTTGCCTTTGATTCCTGTTTGTCAGGTGTCCATCCAGTGGGGCCCTGGACTCAGCTGGGCATTACAGTCTGTAATTCACCATGAAATTGCATGGACATAGCCTTGCCCCCCTCCTTCCTCCAGCCCCAAACTCACAAACCTGTTCCTGCTGTGGTCCATACCCGCCCACGGATGCAGGTGGGGCTCCTGCTCTTCATGCTTGGCTGCTGAGGGAAGGGAAGGTCACAGGGATGGATGCCAAGGCTGCAGGATTTTCTCCATGGCTACGTCCTGTTAGATGTTTGCTCAGTTATTTGCTGTATTATTTTGTTTTATTGTGGTTTATTATGCTGCTGCTACGCTCACATCTGTTTTGTGGCTCTGTGAAGCCAGCAAATAATGTATTTTCACTAGGAGGTCGTACCACATCAGAGCAAAAAATAAATCCAATTCTCCTGATCAGTGTTTGGATGTGAGATAGGGCATCTCGAATTTAATCTAAAATCATCACATTATATGGGGGGAAAAAAGTTCTCCCTAGTTCAGATCACTGGAATGCTAGAATATGTTACAAAGCCATGAGGTCCTGATTTTGGTGACAGCTTGTGTCATTTTTGGAAAACTGTGTGCCCACAAACATCTCTGTTTCTTATTTTCCCATGTATAAAATAGTGTGGAAAATATGTTCTCGTATAATTTTTTTTACACTCAGACAAAACAGACTCAATAAGAAAACCCTGTTACTACTTTCTACATTTAGAAGTCGTTGCCTCCTTCTTTGACACCACAGCAGGAAACAACCCGAGTAGTCACTCACAGGCAAACAACACTCCCAGAATCGCTGATTTCAGACAGAAACCATCAACCAGAGAACAGAAAAAAGAAACCCGGGGTGGGGGGGATGGCGAGGAGTGACTCAGTGTAGGAATCTCTGCCTTGGGACGGTCGGGACAAACTCAGGCGCTCTCTTTATTCTGGTCTTAAAGTTTGCAGTTTATTTTGTAGGGTGTGGGTTTATATAAGGCCCTGCTGGGAACTGCAGCCACAGCTCAGAGCAGGAGGGGAGAGGGATAGAGTGAGAATAAAAGAAGAAAGCTTAAAAGAGCTCAAGAAAGTAAGAACAAAGAGAGCATAAGAGAGCGATTTTCCCGTTTACAATACATTAAATCTTCTTCTATTTTGAATATTCTAATTTCCACTAACCAATCTAATACAAGATATAAATTCTCTAACATTTGCATGCAACCTATAGGAATCACTATATTACCATGTTTTACTGCTTTTCTTATCTCTAAATTTTATCTGGGACCCTTCCTGCCATGTGGGACACATATAGAGAAAGTAAGAAAATTACAGCCTGAAAAATATTCCAGGCTGGAGCTTTTCAGCTCTGTTCCCAGCCAATGAGCTGGTCCAGCTCAAGGCTAGGGAGAATTTCTCCCAGGGTGATAATTTGGTCAAAATAAAAAGGAATTAATAACAAAATCAAACACCTGTTGTGGTGTGTGCCCAGGCCCTGGCAATGGGGTGTCTTCTCTCTGAACCAATCACCTTTTCTCTGCTCTGGGAGTTGCAGTCCTGCTATAAAACCAAGTGTGTTTGTGAATAAACTTGACTCTTTCTTCCTGTCATGAAAGATGACCATGTAGCCGTGCATCTTATTTCTGCTGCACTTAAAGGGTTAAAACCCCATTCCACGGCTACATTGCCATGCCTAGGGAGGATGTCTGTTTGCTTCTTGGTATTGGCAGCATCTAACATTATCTAAACCAAGGGGCCTTCAGGCATTCAGTTTATTTCAGCCCCACAGCCGAAAATCGCTACCATTTCTATTCCGCTTATATTTCCCACACTCTCAAAGCCTTTGGCCCTCGTATTTGTAAGGTTTCCCAAATTCATCAGAGCCGGTTCCACCTTCCCCTAGGGCTCCCCCAGGGGCCACCAACGCTGTCCCCGTTCCCTTTAGACAGACGCTGCCCTGCTGTACGACGCCGTGCACGTGGTGTCCGTGTGCTACCAGCGCGCGCCGCAGATGACCGTCAACTCGCTGCAGTGCCACCGCCACAAGGCCTGGAGGTTCGGCGGCCGCTTCATGAACTTCATC